TTGGTTAATCAATAACCAACGGGTAGGAAGAGTGGGAGGAGGACTGTGTTGCTTTAGCCATTTGATGAGGAAAATTTTCAAGCGAAATGTTTTTTTGCTCGGAGGCCAATGTATTTTTGGCATCAGCTCAAAGGCGTCTCCCCGTGTATAGCCTATAGCCTATATGCACATACGTCTTTAACGTTCATATATACATAATTTAATGCTATATAGCAGACGACAATGTCTCGCACTGTGGCTAGCCGTTGGCGGGACACCAGATATATATATCAGGAATATAATGTGTATACTTTTTGGCACAGATTCATAATTTTTCATGAAAAATGCCCGCAAATTCAGATGCCCAAAAATAACACTTTACTGGCTAGATTTTACGCTGCTAACTAAAAATTCCAATAAATTTCGGAGAATTATTAACTGAAAAGTTCAATGCCTAATTTAGTCTAGAACTTATGGCTAATACTTTTGGGCAAATGAATTAGTAATTCATTTTGGCAACTGTACTCACCATCATAGTTGCGAATCTCCAAATCGGCAGGCAGATGGGCGTAGCTCAGTGAGCTAACAGCCTTATCATTGGAACGGTGTCCGTATTGACGGTGAGCCTCATGAATCTCCGTGGCCCCAAATTTCTCCGTCAAGGCACGAACGCACTGCTTCTCTCCGGCGATGCAGGAAAGGTGTAGAGCCGTATTTCCATGGCTATCGCGCACCGAGGGCTGAATGTAAATGTGACGCAATAATTGTGTAATTGTTAGATTAAACCATTGATAGCAGTTGTCTAAGATGGGATGAGGTACTTTATGATGCGGAAGAAAGTAATAATTACCTCAGCTCCGGCCAGCAGCAGCATTCTCATGATATTGGGCTGGGCGGTGAGGGCGGCCAAATGCAGCGGAGTCTGGGCCACATCGTTCTGAATGTTGAGCAGGCATGGATGCGGGGCCATGCGAATTAAGGCAGTTACCACGTCCACGGATCCCGAAATACAGGCCAGGTGCAGAGGTCTAAAGACAGGAAAGGGAGAAAAGAGAAACAACAATGAATTTGCGGGTTTATTTACCTGCCGCAGCAGCAGCAGCAGCACCCACCCGCCCGCACTTTCTTCCCTTCTTCCTGTTCACTTGTTGCCTTGTGTCATGTGGCGGCGTAAAAACCCAAGTAAGTTAAGTCGAGGTGAATTATTGTGAAGAAAAAATAAGAGCTGATGAGCTGCCCCGAAAACCTGTTCGGACGGTGATGATACCAGTGTACCTGCCCACATACCAGGAAAACCCCAAAGCCTGACTAAAACACATGTGTCAGTCGCGTTTCTCGGCCCAGACAATGGTCTTTCGAGAGTGATTCACGAAACTCTCCCCTTAGCTCACTTGGTGGTCGGTGCCTTTGTTTTTTTGGGAAACTTGGAAATGCTCATCGGAAAGACACCTCATATCGGATAGAAGAAACACACTTAAACGTGACTTTGAGCAGTTTAACGAGATGGGTATTTTGATTATAAATTATTCGGAATTACAGTGACTAGGTTCAGTCTTTTATATATAAAATTCAAATTTCATTGTCACTTTCTTCTGGTTGTCACAAGCAATTTAATTTTAGATCTGATCAGACTCGCAAAAATATTGGGATAATTTAGGAATATTACCGATGATATTAATTAAGTAGCAAGACTTGTTCACTGAATATTTCGCATTAATGTGTTCGAAGACTATTTGCATATTTTTGATTGGCCTAAATATAGAGCTCTCTCATTGATCTAAAGTTCGTTTTAAGGATTGGGTCTTACAATGAAGCAGGTTTTGGTTTTGTGTTATATTAACAGATAAGCCTAACTAACTAATGAACAACTGAAAATGTTGTTAGGGTTCTAGCAGTGGAAAGTACACCGCTTTAATGATTTCTTGAGGAGTTTCTTTTGCAATAACTAAATTCAAATCTTTCTACAATTATTAATACTTCCCCCGTAAGGTGTTCCAGTACAGATTACTTACGTGTCACCAACATCGTTTTGCTGATAGAACTGTTCCCATGCGTTCATAATGTTGATACTGCTCTGCGGAGCGGAGGAGGGATTCGTGGTGGGGCCGGCAGCTGTGTTGGACTGTGTGGTAGATTGTGGGCCCTTGCTCCGGTTAGCCGAAATCTGGGCGGAATTGCTGCCGCCACTGCTCTGGCCGAGATTGTTTAGCTGCTCGCCGCGACCAGCCAAGTTGCTTTGGACCGTCCATTGCGGTATGCCTGCGTCCGTGCTGTGTTTGAGGCGCATTTGATTGCTGCTTTTGTCCTCCTGGGTGGGCTCCTCCTCCTCTACTTCCTCTTCGTCCTCGTCGATAATGCCGGAATCAAGGACCACGGACTGCTGCTGCTTCTGTTTCTGTTGGGGCTCCTGGTCCTTGGGCTCCGGCTGCTGCTGCTCCTCTGTCTCGGGGATGATCTCCTCGCTGAAGATTTGCGAGGATTGCGGTCCGGAAATGAAGCCCGAATCGCTTGTTTCGCTTTGCAAGGCAAATTCCTTGTGCTTTTGGTTAATGGCGGCGGCCGCCTCTTCTTCTTGCGCTTTGCCGCCAAATGTTGACTTTGCGTTTTTACCGCTACTGTCGGAGGAGGAGGCTGCGTTAGGGGGGCGCTGTTCAACACTGGCAGCGCTGCTGCTGCAGCTACAGTCCTCCTGGCTGCTATCACTTGTTGCTGTTGCTTTTGTTGCTGCTGCTTCCGCTGCTGTTGTTGGGTTCCACATTTTCGTGCTTTTCCGGACTCTCAGTTAGCTGGAAAATTAATATTTTTGCGATTGAGTATGCGTTTGAACTTTGCTTTTAAGCTCAGGTTTAATCGCGCTCTCTCTCTTTATCGTTATCTTTCTCTCTCACTCACTCACTGTCACAAAACTCTCTCGCAAGCTCTCACGTAACTGCGCTTTTTTGCCCTGGCCAGCTAACGACTGTGGGTGCGAGCGAAACAAACATATGAACGAACAGCTACAAGTGAAAACGCAATAACAGCATTTTGTAGATTAAAGCAATTTATAAATTATACATGTGTAGCGACATAAAAATAAACGATTCACTTGGGAACTATTTTTGATTTTGCCGTTGATTTTATTTTGCCTTTTCCTTGCGCGCCTCCGAGTTTGTTTCACACGCATTCCACATACACACACACACACAAAGGGAAATCTTTTATCTCCTCTCACAGCTTCATTTTCATTTTCTCTTCGTCTGCTTGTTCTTTGTTTCACATAAATTTATCCTCTATATTTTGCACTATTTTCTCACTACCTTGCTGGTTAATTGTGCTTCAGAGTTTCGTTTCACACGCGTAAGTTGAGTTTTTCGGCTTGTTAAAATTTGTGGTTTCTAATTTGCATAGCTCCCGTGCGCAACACGTCTGTTTGTTATTAACAATATTTTTCGCTTTTCGCGTTTTACGGCCTGCACACCCGTATTTATAGGTTTCTTCCAAGCAGTGATGTCATTTTCCTCAGCAAAAGTAGCTAGATTACCAAAAAACCGAATTCCAAGCGAAAATAGCTAGGAAAAAACTGATTTCTGGATTTTTTTTTTTAATTTTAAGTATAAAATATTAAAGTTAAGCAGTTATGCTGCTTTTGCAATAACAGCACGACAAATGAAATTTCCGCTGGTCGCTGTTTTTAATATTTTTCCCGCAATCACACTTTAAAAAAGCCTAATTTGACGGGAAAAAGGCGTAAATGACATCACTGCTTCCAAAGCCGAACGGTGCCGAAGCTGCCGAGAGCGCACGAAAACTTTCAAAACAAAGAGCAGGAGAGCCCCAATGCAGGGTTGTCAGATCTCTGACAGAGCGCTAAGGCCCCAACGGATCAAACAGTACAACAGCAGCAGCAACAAAAGCAACAGCAACAAGAATTTATTTTTTATTTATTTCTTACTTACGATCGGTGTGAGATGTTCATTGCTCTGTGGGCGAAATGCGTATGACGACGATGCTGACAAACATCGGGGAAAACACCAGCCAAACGGAAATGATTTCGCTAAGGATACTTGGAAGATTTCTACCTGGTTTTTCTGTCTCTCGGGTACTCTACATGCACGGAAAAAAACTGGGCACAAATTAGTTTTTTAACTGATCATTTATGTAAGGTGTATTATTACTTAATAAGTTTATAATATTTGACTGAAATGTACGTTTTTATTTTCTACTAATTTCGTTTAATTGAAATATTTTTGCAAAGTCTATTATATAGTTTTTGAATTAATAAAAATTAAAACGCAGTGAATAAGAAATTTCAAGACAAATAGCCGATCCGCTAAAGACATGTCTTTTACTCAATTTTTTACGCTAGATAAGAGAAGAAAAAACTGTAATAAAAAGTATAAATAAATAAAAATCACCTTATATTTACCAAATTTAAAACTCTTTAAATAAAGGCAGTATATAATAAACAATATTTTTTAAGTGTATTTTGAGTTTCAGGGGTTATTCTGTGCTATTGATTTGTCATGCATTTGGGATTTTATGCCTTCTTTTTTTGGTTTTTATTTTCATATAATCGCTAATATTAATATACAAATCATTGGAGATAACAGCTACATATACATATTTGTTAGTTTAATTTCTGAGAACTTAAAATTTTTAATATTCGAAATTTTAATTTGGAAAACCCAAAGTATTTCCAGAAAAATTTAATGAAATGGTCATAAATATGAAACATTTAAAAATAATAATTAAAAATAAACATGAAATTGGGGAAATAACAAAAAACCCAATATATTTTCAGAAATATAAAGTGAATCATGTTAAAAAAATAATTTAAAATTATAAAAAAAAAGGAAAAAAATAATTTACTAAAATCGTAAATAGTTTTGTTAAATAGTGTCTTTTTGGACTATATTTAGCTTAAAAATTTGTATGTTTAATTTGTTTCTGCTTAAATCAAATAAGTTATTTACCGTTTTAAAAGTTTCGCCATCTAAAAACGTAATGCGGAACGTAAGGAAACGTTCTAGAAATAAGTTGGCAGCACCAAACACATGCCGGCGTAAAAAATAAGATAACTCTGCCTTTTCTGAAACCATTTTAAATGCTTAGAAGGATGAGTAGCGGCTACAGCGGTCAAAAACTGGCGACAGTTGTCAAGGAGCTTGAAAACTTTGCACCTGTAAAGCTGGCAGAGGCGTGGGACAACGTGGGATTGCTGATAGAGCCGTATCGTGAGAAACTAATCACCAAAATATTGCTCACAAATGACCTAACCGAGCCAGTCATGAGCGAGGCTCTCCAGAAGGATGTGGGTCTGATAATCAGCTATCATCCGCCGATATTCCAAGCGCTGAAGAGGATAACGCAGGCCCATTGGAAGGAGCGCGTGGTGACCGCCTGTTTGGCCAACAATATAGCCTTATATTCCCCGCACACGGCGTGGGACAAGGCCTGCGGTGGCGTCAATGATTGGCTCTCGCAGGCGGTGCGTATCCAAAACATCCGTCCCCTGGAACCGGAATTGGGGGCTCCCCCGGGTACTGGTTCAGGCCGATTCATAGAGACCAAAATGGAAATCGATGAGCTGGTGCAATCCCTTCAAAATCACATCCAGAACAGCGTCCATGTAGCTTTGTCTGTCAACCATCATCCCAAGAGTCTCATCCAAACCGTGGGCATTTGTGCTGGCTCCGGTGGAACGCTGCTCAAGGGCATCAAAGCTGATCTCATAATCTCGGGGGAAATGTCACATCACGAGCTGCTAGAGTTCAATCATAACAACACCACAGTTCTGCTGTGCAATCACAGCAATTCGGAGCGGGGATTTCTCAAGCAATTCGCCCCGAAACTAGGGGAACTCTTGAAGGGAGCCTGCGAGATTATTGTGTCTGCTGAAGATAAGGATCCATTGATTACCGTGGCAAAGGGATCCTCGCTAGTTGATGCGTTCAAGGAAGGACAGTAACAGGATTTTAGATAAATGTATAATGTTTAACAATGCATTTACTGGCATCAAACGTAATGTTTAAAAATAATAATAATAAAACGGATTTTTCGAACGGCCTTAACTTCTAGACTTGATCCAGCTTGAACTTGCCACCCTTGCTGGCGGCATCATTGCGATGGAGTTGATACAGCAGTCGCTGTTCCAGATGCTTTACAGCCGCCACCGTTAGCACTAGGGTATCGTGCTTCAGCATGGAATACACGTTCAGGCCAAAGGAAGGCATCAGATTGACATACCCCAGACTATCGGTGGCCTGGGAAATGTTGGCGGGAAACATGTGATCTCTGGAGAAGCAAGAAATGGGTCAATTGGAATACCCTTTGTTATGGCATTGGGCAAATACTCACTCATCCACAATCAAGACAGAGGGTCCCCAGTTCCTCTCGGCTATTAAATCCTTGAGAAACTGTGCATCCCCCGTAGGTATGTCCACGCCCTCAACGATGTGCAAATCATCCTGGGCCAGCTTGACGCTTAATGTGGAGGTCAGACCGAGAACCCGCTTGTAGAAGGGCAGCATGTAAAAGTGAGTGGTGGGCGAACGGGGTCCATGGACCACGCCGCCGCCCTTGAACAGTGGCGTCCGGATGGAACCGTGGCGAGCGCGGCCCATTCCCTTTTGTGGCCACGGCTTGCGACCGCCGCCCCGCACCTCCGCCCGTGTTTTTGTGTGCGCCATGCTTACATAACGATACTTGCGCTGCCACTCCACATTCTCCTGGATGATGTCCACCCGCGGCTGGGCGGCAAACACGTCCGGATGCAGCTCGATCAGTCCCACCTTGCGCTCCGCCACTGCGTCCGTGTTCTCGATCCATGCCTGCCTGGCTGTACTCCGGCTAACCGGCGAGTAGTTGACGGCGTAATCTTGCGGCAAAATCAAGGGGGTGGATTTGGTAGCAGGTGGAGCGGCCTCGGTTGCAGAGGGTACGGCTTCGGTTGCCGCATTGTGGTTGTTGCTGCTCCGGGTAAAGGTCCTGGCCACTGGATAGAGCACCTGCCTGGATTTATTCAAAATATTCTTCAACATTTTCCGGCAGCGTGCAATTCAGTGTGACCACAGCTAGAATGCCGAGGAATACCAAAGGTATAGGACCCAACTAAAAATGGTCACACCAATTAACGATTGAAAAATATTTAAATGTTGTGTTAAAAAATAAAATGACACTATACATTACAGCTACAATTTTTATTTTCATTGATATTAATTAATAGGATTTATAAGTAATTTTTTTATTGAAACTTTTATCAAAATATTTAATTTTGAAATGTAACTTTAAATAATTATGATTGAGAACTTTAACAAAGTATTTGCATCAGCATTCGTTGAAATTCTCAATCATAGTTATTGCACAATTTTGTAGAATCCATTGGCACATTCATTTTGCCTGTCCTTGTTCCCCAATCTAGACGATGCCGACTTCTCCTGCGCTCCAACTTCTTGGGGACTATTATAGCAATATGTGATTTGTTTAATTTCAACACAACTACAGCTTTCCTGGTTGAAACGGTAACTGGAGTCGTATAGGACTTTAACTTCTTCATTGGCGTGCTGTTCCTGGCCACACGGATGGTTTGGTTGGTCCTCACAGCAAGAGCATTCTTCAGTTCGGTTTCCTTCTTTTTGAGTCTTTGGCCCTCTAAAGCAACTAAAATATTTGGGCAATGAGGGCTTCTTAGTTTTTTCCGGCTTTTCTGATGTATCTTCGCATTGTTGAATCACATTTTTATCTTTTTTTCTGGAATTTCGCCTGCAGACTAGGAATTCTGTTGACCAGGATGGCCTTTTCTCACATTCCTTTGATGGCTCAGTTTCTTTTTCAACATATTTACCTATTTCTTCCTTGCAGCAAATCTGCTCAGGTTTCTTTTTCTTCTTAAAACAAACCAGTCCGCTCGATTTTGATTTAGTTTCTTCGCATTGTGATTCATTTTCATTTTCAAAATTTCGGTGTCTTTCTTTTTGTGAATCTTTCGCATCACTTTTAGGCGCAGGATGTTTTTCTTTATTCTTAAAACAGAAAAGTCCACTTGATTTTGATTTAGGTTTTTGACTTTGTGAATCCTTTTCATTTTTAAAATTTTTGTGTCTTTCTTTTTTGCCATAATTCTCACTTTGCTCGGGGGGAGGTTTTTCTTTCTTCTTAAAGCAGAGAAGCCCACTCGATTTTGATTTTGTTTCCTCACTTTGCGAATCCTTTTCTTTTTTAACATTTCTACGTCTTTCTTTTTTGTCATAATTCTCACTTTGAGAGGGATTTTTTTCTTTCTTTTTAAAGCAGAGAAGTACACTCGATTTTGAATTAGTTCTTGGACTTTGTGAATCTTTTTTATCCTTTTTTGAAGAACCCTCCGAACTCTTAGGAGGAGGCGGCTGTTCTTTCTTCTTAAAGCAGAAAAAAACACTAGATTTTGATGTAGTTTGGTCGACATTTTTACCCGTTTCTTTTTTCAATTTCTCTGCATTTTTTGGGGGAGGAAGCTTTTCTTTCTTCTTAAAGCAGAAGAAACCACTCGATTTGGAGGTGTTTCGCTCAACATTTTTACCCCTTTCTTTTTTCGATTTCTCCTCTTTCTTTGGGGGAGGTAGTTTTTCTTTCCTCTTAACTAAGGTAAGTCCACTTGATTTTGATGTAGTTGGCTCACAATTTCGTCGCCTTTCTTTTTCCAATATATGAGAGGCATTGCAACAACAATCCACAGGCTGTACCCGCTGACAACGAGGTATTTGCCTTTGTTTACAACAAAGGTATTCACATTCACTAGTCGTTGATGGCGAAGATCTTGGGTTGTCTAGGCAATTGGTTTCCCTTGGGGGTCGAATCATCATTTGGTTTGGCTTAGTTCTTTCTTTAGGCGACTTTTTTGAACAACTACAGGCTGAAGATTTGGTTATAGATTTGCACTCGTCGCATTCATACGATGGGGGTTGGCGGCTGCTTGGTCTTTTCCTGACATTTTCTTTTGCTGCTTTTTTTGAATAACTGTAATGGTAATCCCTTGGAGGAGTCTGAGTTTTGCGCCTACAGTCAACTTTAACAAATTCCCGATCTTTTGATTTTTCTATCTTGTCTTTTTGAAAATTATTCAAAATATGTTTGTCATAGCTATTCAGAAGAGGATTCGCTATCAGATAGGGATTATGTCTGTTTCTAGTACAGCTTAGTGGCTGCACTTCCGGGACGATGTTAATTGGCATTTTATCAACAGGTACATATCGATGATACCTTTTTTTGCTGATATGTTTCCTGGACTTTGTTGAATCGTCATCAAACCTATCGGTTTGTCCACTGTCTGAACGGGTTTTTTTGTTAGTCACATCGGTAAAGATAACTCTTTGACGACTAGGAAGGTCTTCATGACTTGTATCTGTGGCAGCTTCCTCGAAACTATTTTCTTCCTTTTCATATTCAGTATAGTTTTCTAATCCACCACACTGCCACAGCTTTCTTCTATTTTCGGTGCAATAGGGATTCTCACAAAGTTCAATACTGCTTCCCACAACAATACTGCATTGGGAATCAGATATTTCGCATGGTACGGCTAAAGCTCTCTTTAATTTACCTGGACAATTTGGATTATTGCATAGAATCGTTATCTTTGGTGCTCTCTTTAATCTTCCTGGAAGTTCACAAACTTCAAAATCAATTTCTTTTCTATTTCTTTTTGTGCGGCTAGAAGAGCAACTCCGTATTTCGGGATCTTTATAATAGACTTCTTGGGAATATTGCTGACATTTGCAAGGTGATTTATGCCTCCTTTTGGCCAGACCCGTCTCCCTTTCTCCACAACAACAGCAACAATATTGAATGCTATCTATACTTTCATTGGAAGCAGCTCTACTACATCTGGAAAACTCATGGTCATGTTCTTGGAATGTAACTCTTCCTCGATTGCTTGGATTCTGATTTCTTATTTGAATCATTGAACATTTTCCATATCGTCGTTCTGTTAGTTTCGATCTGGTCAAGGGATTTCCTGGACCAACAACTGATTGGTGATTATTCCCAAACCAATCTGCATTGAGAAGTATTCTTTCCGGATCATTTATTGATGGATACAGTGGAGCCTTCCGTTCCCGTATAGCACTTGGGTAATTTGGTTCTGTTCTGGGCGATCCACTAGCTGTTCCAAGATCTGGAGTGTTTCTATGTGATATGTTTAAATTTTCTTGATTAGGTGGATTCCAGTTGTAGAATAAAGGCAGATCCTTTCTTTCCAGATAAACATCAGCTGGATTCATTTCATTTTTATAAGGACTATTAGTCGGATATGGGTTGATTGGTCCTTCAAAAGTGACAGGAACAGCTTCATTATATGCCTGGGAAAATTGATTTGGAGAAGGAAAACCAGGCCGATGAATATGCTGTTGGAATAAACCTTGTTGGCAAGGTGGACCTGCAGGTGGCAGTTCTTGCTGGAAAGGCTGATTAGATGCCGACTCTTTTTGACATGAGGACGACACTTCTTCTTGGCAAGGTGGAGTCGAGGGAGACAATTCTTCTTGGCACGGTGGACACGTGAGAGACTGATCTTGTTTGCAAGGTGGAGGTGAGGGACACAGTTCTTGCTTGCAGGTTGGAGTCGAGGTGGCTGCCTCGTCTTGGCAAGGTGGACACGAAGGAGACAATTCTTGTTGGCAAAGTGGAGTCGACCTTGACTTGTGAGCTATATTTATAGTTTGACCATATTTCTCCCATGAATCGACAGGGGTTTTTAGCCTTTTTGGTTGACTTCCGTTCCCTGAACTCCTGCAACTCTCATATCCCTTTCCCTTTCCCTTCCTAATTTCATTTTCCAAACCAGCCACAGTTTTTTGTAGTATAGAAAGAATTTTAATAACATCGCATTGGTCCTCCTTTTGATCGAGTATTTTGCAATTGCAGCATTCATATGATTTGGTTCCCTTTGTATAGTATAAAGTGTCATTGGAACAATCTTCTTCTTCAACTGTTCTATTTCTCCTGGCACTAGAAGAACGATTTCGACTTCGAGATTTACTGCTTGACTTCCGAGATTTTTTACACTGATTCCGGGTTGTACATTTGCAATATTTCGCCTCTTTGTGGCTGGACTCGGTTGAACTGGAAGAGTTTTTAATATCCTGATCCGATAGGTTCTCATATTGCTTATGGTAATCATGCTGTTGGTATAAATTCGACAATCCTTGTTGGCAAGAATGACACGAAGGAGGCAATTCTTGCATGCACGGTGGGCACGCAGAATTCAGAGAATTGCCGCGTCCCAAATGGATTTCCTTTTGATTCGATTCAAATATCAAAGAATTGGTTTGTTGATTTGGTTTTGATTTCTGTTCTGATTTAAATTGTTCTTGCTTTAACGATACTGAGCCATTTTTCTCTAGATGCAAATATTGCACATTCAATTCCCTTTCGCAGGACGTACCCTTAGTGCAATGATGTACTGATGTATTCATGGCTTGCTTTCGTATTGATGATAATTGACTGCATCTATTTTTTTCGAGGGAACCTTGCACATGGTTGGGCGAGCATATTTCTGTCATTATTATTTCTGACGTCTGGGTAACCGCTTCAGTGCATTTTCTACTTGAAATAGCTTCACTGGGCTTACACTCGTACTCCATTTCACATGCTTCTCTTTCACAGTTTCCGGTTCTATAACAGCCCCGACCAAATTCCATAGTATAAGAATGACCTGGAGGCCTTGACCTGTGGGGACAGTTGGTGGAATCTCTACTGGTCCCACCTGTACTATAAATAAGAGAAATTAGTCTAGATCTTGATAAATGTAAGGTCTACAGCAATATTACCTATTCCGTGTTCTGTGTCCTGTCTTTTGTTTTTAGTTGTATCGGTTTTACATTCAGTCGGGATATATCCATAATCACTGCAAGTTTTCCTCTTAGGGCAACTCTTTTCTTTTGGCGATTTTCGTTCACAGCAAAGATTCGTAATTTTGACATGATGCATTTTACAAGAACTTTTATAATCATTTTCACTGCAATCGCTGCTAGCCAATGGCGACGAATTCCTCGACCATGATGTGCTAGCATCTCGAGTTCTTCTGGAACACCTATAAACTTTTTCATCTTTTGAGGGGCATTTTCTCCTGGTTGTCTTTGAAGAGCATTTGCAATGACTGTCTCTGTCTCTTCTCGGTTTTTTTGAACAACATTTGCATGTGCATCGATCAGTACTTGACTTTCTTTCGTCAGTAGAGTTATAATCCGATAGAGTCACAATAACACTGTGGCCATCTTCATCGACCCATTTCTGTTCCTGTATTTGCGTTGCACTGGACATTTCCAGGCTCCATACTTCAGGATTCTCATACATATTTGGTGGCTTGCTAACCTTATCTATTTTTGTTAAGTAGGAATTGGAGCATTGACATTGATTGTTCTCCACTGTTGTATCACATTCCGTTTCGGAGGGACTATAGCCCCCATAATTTTTAAAGGTAACTCCGGGACAATTTAATTTACATTTGGATGAATTTGAGATCTCACTGTTTGATTTTGACGGACATACATTCTGACGGTCCTCTTCACCACTGTAGACTCGGCACTTCAGCCTGACTCCGCTACTCTGGCTGGATCCAATTCTGGGGTTGGTTCTACCTCCTGACGAGTGATTTCGGCTACTACTTTGGGTCGGTGCCGGCGTTTGGGCCCCAGAAACGTTTGCGGATTTGTAAATTCTTTGACGGGTCTTGTTCTTCATGGGGCACTGACACGAGTTAACCAACTTGAGGGGTGTATTGAGATTGTGATCGTAGGGAGTTTGATTGAGAAGGGAGCAATTGGTGATCTCGTCTAGAGATCCCTTGGAATTGGGGTCCATAGCTTCCTCCCTACTCACATTCACCAGCCATTTGGACGGGTAAGCACAGGAGCTGTTTCGAGATCTTGTACTGCCCCTGGAAGTGGATCCTGATCGCTGTCCGCTTACATTTCGATTATAATCTGGCAAGACAATATTAGGGAGTAATGAACACATAAGATTCAGTGCCAGAAAACCCACCATTTGGCTTAGGTTTCCTCGAGGATGATAAGGCTTTCCTTAGATTCTCACAACCCGTTATTTTTCCGGCGGTTTTCCTTTCCCCCGAAGCTGGCTGTGCTGGAGTGCCGGCTGCCGGAACCCTTCGCAGCGTACCCACCGTGCGCGATGAAGGCCTTTCCTGAGTTGGCCCCGATGACAGGACCACTTTAGAATCTGTTTCTCCGTTCTGATTTCTATCAGAATATTCAACGGCATCCTGGCTCTTGTCAAACCCTTGGGTCTGGCAGGCCCGGCGCAGGAGGGTTTGCTGGACGGTGCGCCGTCTTTTGATTTGGGAAGTCGTCATCTCAAAGGAGCGGGAAAAGAGAAGCGGCAGCTCAGAGGCCTAGTAGTAACATTGCCGGGTTGAGTCTAATGACAGTTTAGGAAAAGTCAACACGAAAGATGGAAGTATGTTATATTTTATTGCAAGAATTTTTTTTAGGGAGTTTGGGGGGGACCTGGCCAGGATAGAGTTTCAGCAAGTCTGCTTACATTTTCTTGGGTATCTTAGTAATAATAAATTTAGTTTCTGAGATGTCAGCTAAGATGGTGAATACTACTTTATGGGTGTACTGAAATCCATCGATATCCATTCGGAATTGACACTGATCCAATAAAACTGTCAGATGAGGCCACACTGAGTCATCCAGAAGTCTTCTGAAATGAACTGACAAATGGTATGGGATCTGTATAAATTCCTTGGGGTAAGTAATCGTTTGGATATTATTTATCAGAAAGTGACGTTACAGTCTCTTGTAAAATATTTAAGATTTTTTTTTTGAGTTGATTGAGGAGGTTTTAGCCTCTGTTCCCTTGAAGTGCTCACAGGAAATTGCCTTAACAGCAGCCCCAACCTCTTCCACAGCAATAGTCCAAGTTATAGCAAGTTCTTCCCACCGGAGCACAGCAGCAGGAATTAAAGCAACATTGGCCATAAGGACAGCAACCATACTCCAAGCATCTAGGCTTTGGTTCGAGGACAAATGGAGGATTGGCAAACCGATCGTAAACGACTTTAACAGGCCTTTTTTTTCGACGTTTTCTGGGCTGCTTTTTCTCTTTTAAGTAGGACAAGCACTCGACATTCGGCACTATATCACAGAGAGTTCGCTCCAAATTGGAGATATTGCAGTCATCTTCGGTATCACAGCAACATTTATCTTGAAAATTACAACTGCAGATGCTTTGGGAATCACAGCTGTCAGTGTCCGGGATATTACAGATGCACTTGACTTGAGAATTAAAGATGTCATTGCATTGGGAACTATATCTGCGTTTGACTGGAGTATTACAGCTGCAGATGCTTTGAGAATTAGAGCTGCAGGTGTTTTGGAAATCTAAGCTGTCTTTGTAAGTACAGCAGAAATTTTCAGGGATATTACAGCTGCAGGTGCTTTGGCAATTAAAACTGGATAGGGAACTACAACTGCATTTTTCTGGGATACAACAGCTGCAGGTGCTTTGCGAATTAAAGCTGCCATTGGATTGGGAACTACAACTGCATTTGTCTTGGGAATTACAGCTGGACTTGTCCTCATCATCGTCGCATATAGACCGCGAATTTGCACACCTATCACGTTTGCAAGCAGGACAATTCTTGGGTTTTCCAACCGATATGCAAATGGGAACCTGTTTGAAAGGAAATTAAAAATAGTTCTGAATATTCGTATTCATTACCTGAATGCATCTAAATGTCTTGTTTGTGTTATCAGTCACAACAACCTCCTGCATAGTCTCCTGACTTCCCCACTCCGAATAGTTCTCTTCGTTGTTTTGTTGTGTTTTTGATTTCATACTAAAACTCGATTTTCTTGAGCCTTCGGTAGAGAAACTTTTAGTAGACGATTGATCAGTGTGTTGCGATAGCTCTGAATATGCGGAATTAGAAGCCTTGGGGATTTGACTCCCTCCCAAACTACTATCTTTAATTTTGCCTCCAACAGATCTAAGTTGATAATCTGACTCAATCCGATCAGCTGACTTGGTTAAATCAACTGTCTTAAACCGTTCACTTGACTTAATCCGATCACTTGACTTAATCCGATCACTTGACTTAATCCGATAATCTGATTTAATTCGATCATCTGACTTAATTCGATCATTTGACTTTGTCCGATAATCTGATTTAATCCGAAAATCTGATTTAATTCGATCATTTGACTTTGTCCGATCCTCTGACTTAGGCCTGGCATATCGGCTATCGCGGTAAAAGGTCGGCGAACCACGATTCCTTGGCGAGTCGGCGTAACCATTATTTGGATATCTGAAATGTACAGAAATGTACAAAAGCTCTTTCTCTCTCTCATTCTTTACCCTCTGGACTGTCCCCTTGGGTAATCTTGGTACCTAGAATAAGAAAGTAACTCTTTGACTTCATTTCTTAATTAAAAATAGAACAAAACAACGTACCAGTTTCGAAAGTTTCTATTGCTGTCGCCGAGTAGAAAAAAGGTACAAAATTGGAACAGAATTACTTAAAAATTATAATAAATTCACTGATCTTACTATCGAAAATGGTCATCATATCCTGGTCTTGGTCCAGGTCTAAGCGGTGCATTATAATACCTTTACGATGTTTAGATGTTTTCTAAATAAAATCAATGTTTTATAGCACTTCCTAGTCTTACCTATTTGGTGGTCCGCCTGGTCCTGAAAAGCGTCTGGGTCCCGGGCCTGGATGTCCTCTAGTTGCTGGGCAGGGATATCCCGGTCCTGGGCCTGGATGTCCTCTGGCAGCTGGACAGGGATAACCCGTTGCCGGGCCATGATATTCTGGGCAGGGATATCCTCTCGCTGCTGGGCAGGTATATCCTCTAGCTGCTGGGCAGATGGATTCTCCAGCTGCTGGGCAGGAATATTCTCTTTCTCTAGCTGCTGGGCAGGAATATTCTCTTTCTCCAGCTGCTGGGCAGGAATATTCTCTTTCTCTAGCTACTGGGCAGGAATATTCTCTTTCTCTAGCTGCTGGGCAGGAATATTCTCTTTCTCTAGCTACTGGACAGGGATATTCTCTTTCTCTAGCTACTGGACAGGAATATTCTCTTTCTCTAGCTGCTAGGCAGGAATATTCTCTAAGTCCAGAGCAGGGATATCCTGAACCTGGACACGCCGATCCTGAGGTCGGACATTCTCTTCTGGCAGACTGTTGTGGTTGCTGATTGCTAAAAAGCTTAGAGAGTTAAGGAGGAATCAACAAAAAATAGCAATATATTCATCACTAACTTGACCACAACTAGCAAAATGGTGGGTTGAGGGGGCGGAGGTTTTTTCGGTGGAGTATCCTCTTGTAAGATTGAGGTAAACTCGGATGGAGTGTTATTCTCTACTGGGGACAACTGTTGATCATTGGATTTCTTCGGCTCTGGTGCATCTGAAACCACGCTCTCCATAGAACGACGTGTCTTGGTGGACATCCGCCGGACGATATCATCATCTCGCTCAGCCATATTTAAGGACATGACATCAATCCAAGGAACGATATCCGGTTCTCGGAGTATACAGTTCTTGCACCTACAAACCGGCTTTTCCGGCGGCGGCGGGGGCGGCTCACAGTACATAATTGCATCCGGGTGCCATCACTACCAGCACCAAATCAAACCCAAACTCCCATTTAAAAATTTGAAAGAAAGTCGAAAGTAAGAAGTTATGGCAAATAATTTCAAAGCTGTTAACTTTGATGGATGAGGCTAATATGTCTGATTTCGATAAGTCCGTTTTGCCTTGGAATTTGAGGAACTATCAGAGCGATTTGGAATATTCCTGTTAAAGGACCTTGCAGTATCCTCACAAGACATTGGATACCTACCAATGGTTATTATTTTAGGTGCGACCGGCATTTTTTCGAACTTAACCTTTTTGCTACCTTTGGATTTCCCCTTTGGATTATTACTTGTAAGCCGATGCCTTGGTTTTAGGGACGACTTCTTATAGATCCTAACTATCTTTACTGGCTCCCGGCTAGTTAATCCGCTTATGTCGGTGGTGCTGACTGCCTTATCAGTGGTGACTCTAATATTCACTGAGCTATTAACACTGGCAATATCCTGGTCCGTTTGCTGTTCTTGGTCTCTTGTGAATACTATACTTTGCTTCTGCATTTCCTCAAAGTACTCTTGCTCCAGTTCTAATTGGGCCAATTTATAGCTAGCTCCTCGGTACCACTCATCCTCTTCCACATGCTCCTCCTCTGTCTCTACCTGCAGTTGCTCCTCCTTTTCCTCCTCGACGTACGAATACATGAGACTGCCACCGGAAAGACGATGATAATTACAACTGGAACTGGAACTAGACCTTTGCGGTGAGATGCCAGCTTGATGGATGGATTTACTAGGCGGATGATACAAGTCCATCTCATGATCTCTAGCCAAATCATCCTCTGATTTCATGCTTGGCGGTGGGGCCTCGAGGACGGAAGGTGGAAAGCGGTCGGTTATTGTCATGGAAGATGGAATCACAAGATCTTCGGAAGGATTTTCTTGTTTCAGAGTCCTACATTCTCTACTTTTCATTGGACAAAACATTGTAGTGCAAACATCTTTTGTTGTTGGACTAAGCGATGCCATTGGAACTAAAAATGAAATGTATATTTTACAATGCCAATTAAGCATTTGCCTTATCGCTAAGCAGTATTTATTTCATAAAGAGTCTTACCTCTACTGAGTCGCGAATTTGAAGCTTCCAATATCCTAGGCAGTACATCCAAGTCGTCAGTACTACAACTCTGACTCTGTAGACGTCTCTGTAGACGTACATGGGTAACGCATTTGGAAGGACGTTTCCGTTTCTTTTCCTTTAGCAAGGGTAAACGCCCGTAGTGGGTTTTGCTTTCACTAGGATAGAATTCGGGCTGTATGAAATATGGACAATTCGAATGACTGGTTGAACTTGGGAGCCTTGGTGGTAATATCAGTGGCTGGACAGGTAACTGCAACACCTGCACTGGTGGTGGTACTCTTGGGAGTGGTCTTAGGTTGTGTATCTCCATGTGTTCATGATTTCTGGACATAGCTGTCAAACTGTTATTTAACCTTCCGATAGTATCACATAGGACATCAGTTAGCACAGAGAGCTGATGGTTTTGGGGGTTCTGGTTCTCCGAAGCTCCTGTTGATTTCGGTTCCACATTATTTTCCGGTTCCATTTTATTTTCTTCTTTGAAAAAGCCCTCTAGACCCATTAAAATATTCTTAAGGCCACCGACAGCTGTTCGATCTGAATATATTTTTTGTGCGGATTCCTCTTGTGGCGGAATGAATCCATAATCAGGAGCATACTCGTATTCCCCGCCAGCATATAGACGGTTCAATGGCGTAACAAAATCTCCATAGCTATACAAATTTTCATTTGATCCCCAATTATCATAGATCCATGGATTTGCTTCATAGCCTGGTGGATAGGTTATATAGTATGGATCGGGCAACATGCTTCTTCGTCTCCTACGCGATCTTGGCGGCCCTGCACCATTGGTCTCAATATTAAGACACAAGCGACGGGTCCTTCGTGTGGTGGTGGTTCTCGTTGTTGGTATGGGGTCTATTGGTTCCCACATCAATTGGGATCTTCTGTGAGGCTCCAACATGGTCAAGTTTCGTTTTCAAGTTTTTCCTATGAAAATCTAATTTTGATAGTTTTCCCAAAAGTTGAAAGCAATTTCATTGATTGGAGGACTGGAAAAAATCCTCAGCTTTAGAGCATTTCCAGAAAGTATCAAAAACTGTGGAGATAATACATTTTTATTGTTAGATTTGTAACCCCGGATCAATTAAAACACTTAAAATGTAATATAAACTTACATTTAAAATCTTTATTTTATTTGTCTTTTTAAGCTTTTGAAAAGTTTATGTATTTATGTGTAATAATGAATCAAATGGATCAAAAATTATAAATAAAAGTAAATGAAAATGATCCGAGTTATGGGAATGTTTTGATAATAACTGCTCATCGGAAAGATGTCTCATCACTTGGGATCCATTAGCTTGCGGCGCACTTCAAAGCGGGCATTCGAGTGCGAGGACTCGCCGGGAATCTGACTGCGAAAATGGGCCCACTCTTTCTGATAATACTGAAATAGGGCAACCGGATCACAGTGCTTGGCCTTTCCGCGGCGTCGATCTAGCAAAAAAAGAAATAAGAAACTAAAGTATATCCTTAAAGTGAGCTGTGATTGAAAACTTACCCAAGTAGGAACCGCGACTGGCACTGCGTGGATGCGATTTACTGCGCCGACGACGTTGCATCCTCTTAAAATCTTCATTCCGATCCGATTCCCCACCGCTAGACAATGGCGGCTCCTTTCCCTGGCGGGTCTTGCTGCGACTGCGACGCCTGCCACTTGCCACAGCATTAACTGGATTCAAATCCTTAAGACCAGCTGGAGGTACGGATGCTTCCATCAGGAGTTTCTCCTTAAAGGCCTGAGCTAAATCGTTAAAGTGCGAGCCGCCATTCGAACGTTGCTGCTGCTGGCTAGACTGATCAGTCTTGGACTCCTTCTCCTTCGACCTGGAATCGGCACACGACGATGATGATGTAGGGGCCGCATTCTCCTTATCCTTGTCGCCAGTTAATTTGGCACGCGAGCTGACGGTGCCGCGTTTATGCAAGCTGTTGCTGCTGGAATGGTTCGCCTTTGCGTTCTCCGCCAGACGCTCCTCATGCTTGATGAGCTTGCGCAGGTCTAGATTGAGATGGAAACGAATATAACAAGTGGCAATTAGCAGGGAAATGAGGATGATGGCAGGGCTCAAGCCCGTGTCTGGTGGGAGGAATGAGTAATGGAGAATGATCTGACAGCATAGGAGAATGGCTAAAATCAAAAGGTTACAGGAAAATTCTAAATTGAATTTTAACAAAATAGTTATTAAAAAAGTAAAGACGAACTATACTTTAATTAGATAACTTTGCAATGTACTCTTTTGAAATCCCTTTAATAGAATGTGTAAATATCAGCTTTTAAACATCAAAATAATTGTTTTTTTTTATGTAAATAAATAGATCTAAATAAAGAAAAGTGGAACCTATTTCTTAAAACCCTTTCAAAAATTCCTTACTTCAGCCCTTTTTGCACTGCATTCAAAATAAACCAAGACTTTTATTTGTTTATTTTCAATAGAATATTTAATTTAATTTAATTTACTCTTTGTTTTAATATTTTTTACATTGCTTTTGGTTTTATTTATTTTACTTTTTAATTTAACTTCGTTACATATTATAGTTTACTTGTTTGCCTTTCTTTTCTTTGCTTGAGCGTTGACTTGATAATAGTACATGGCTAGAAAATAAAAACAGTAGAAAGCGTGTTGTGATTTCCACATTTAAAACAGAAAACGTTGAATGGAAAACTTTACTACTTAATAGCTAGAAAATGAGAGATTTTGGAATAGTCCGAATTGTTTTGATGATAGAAGGGGTAGCGTTTTTGGAGCATAGGGAATTTGAGCTAAACTAAGATTAAACTAAGGCTTATGTACGTATTTCTTGTGTGTAGTTGTTGTGTGCAGGTTTTAAATTAGCTACATTTAGTTGATGGATGAAGGGATTTGTGTCCTTAAAATTCAATTTTTTGGTCAAATTTAATGTAATTGACAACAAAATCTTTGCAATAACTTTCAGGTTTTTAGGCTTCAAGTATTTTTTCAATTGAATATTTCTAAATAGTTGTTTGCAAAAAAAGGTTTTTTGTAGAATGTTAAATTATAAAAATTTGTGGCAGTGTTTAATCAACAAAAAAAAACCTTTAAAACACCCAAAAACCCGTAGAATGTTGATTTCATCATCCAATTGCATTAAATGTAACCCAAAAATTAATAAGGAATGGGTTCGAATTTTAAAAACCTTTTCTTTTTCTGATTTTTGGAGGGAATTTGTGGCCTAAAAATACCTAAAAACTGAAACACATATGTATATTTCTCATTGTCTCTCTGTACACACTAAAAGCTAAACGTGATTGGTGCTGAATGATGCGTTTCTTGATCTGGATGATGATGATGATACAGGTGGTGCTCAGCGGCGGTATCGGAAGCGTCGGAACGGCGCTCTCAGCCGCCGACAGGTGACACGCACCTCCTTCTTGAGGAACTGCGAAATGGCCAAGGATTTGACAGCAGCTGTCGCAGCTTCCGCAGCACAGCTACTCGCCGCCTTGCCATTATTCGGCGGCGCATACTTGGAGATGTCAAACTTCCTCTTTGGCGTCGCCGTAGTCGTTTGGTGTGGACAGTGCTGTTCGTGGGAATCCCCCGCCTGGGTGTTGCTTAGATCCAGATCCGTATCCAAACCATCGGACGAAACGGTAAAGATATCCGAATTGTCTCCCAGCTTTTCACTGGGAGATATGCAGCTGCCAAGACTTCCATTCAGCTGCGGTGTTCTTCTCTGCTGCTGTTGGACTTGCCCGGTACTAGGCGTTGAGGTTGCCTGTAGCCTTTGGCCATTGTGCAGGGTTAGCAGGAGCTTCTTGCCGGGCGTCGAGTGCTCTTCAGGTGGCGTCGATACGGATATAGATGGTATTCGTGCACGTTTTTCCGGTGACGGTTCCTCCTTCTTCTTGATTCCCACCTGAGGCTCATCGTATGCATCTTCAAAAACATCCTCCTCCTCCTCCTCGTCGTCCTCCTCTTCTTCCTCTTCGACATCCGCATCGGTGGCCTCAATTTCCGCCTCATCATCCTGCTGCTGATCAATTGAATCCGCCATGGTTTCGTCTTCCTCGGGCAAACTTTCGTTATCATCGGCTTCCGGCGGTTCAGCCAGATCATCCACATCGGTAGCAGGTGGAGTCATTGCTACATCTTGGCGGGGATTCTGTTTATCGCCGGCTGGAGATCCACCATCATTCTCTCCAGCTCCGCCGCCTCCCGTATTTCCACCACCACCACCTTCGTCGTCTTCATCTTCCTTGCTCAGCAGCTTTTCCCTCGACGCTGAGGTGGTAGTAGTTGTTGTAGTCTGCTCTTCCTCCGTTTCCATTGGCTCTTGCTTTATTTGATGGAACTCCGCCAGGCCCATTTTGAGGAAATTAATTCTCTCATTTGGCAGGGATCGACCTAATGCTCCTCCTCCATTGCGTCGCCTTTGAGATTTCGGCCAGCCAGTTCGATTTGACTTTAGGTTTTTCCTCTTTCTGTAATAGGTAGCATATAAATTCTGGCTGCTCATCCGTCGACTTGTGCCTGGTGGTAGGTTCCCGCGGGATAGATCTTCTTCGTCGTCGCCACTTCCAGCGCTGCCCAAGAGCAGATCATAAAGATCAAACTCGCTGGTAAAGCAGCAGTCTGATGGTGGTGGCGTCTGCGGAGAATTGGTTTGCTGTTGCTGTTCTCTTCTTCCCTCAGCCGCTGGAGCTGGCAGTGGCAGCTGTTCCTCAACATCCAAATCGTACTCTTTGCCAGCTAGTTCCAGATATTTGTCAAGCTGCCAGGCAGCGAAGCCCGGATTACTATACTGCATGGCTTTGTCCAAGGCCTTAATGGCGCACGGTTCCATATCGTATTCGAGCAAACCCTTTTTGCTCGGCAGCTTGCGAACACCTCGAAAGACACCTCCCATTCCGGGTGGTTGTGGCGCAGGAGGGCGGACTGTTGCAGCTGCCGGCGGATTAACCGCTCTTCTTTTTCCCTTTCCCTTGCCCAAAAACACTTTGGCTGCTAAGGAGGATTCCCGTTGACTGGTGGAAAATTCCAAACGGCGAGAGTAGCTCGGAGCAAGGGTTTGTGTAGCAGCAGGAGTCAGCCGACGACTCCGAGCGGGCGAAGAAACTGCTGTAGGCACGGGATTTACCGCTGAAGCTGAAGCTGGCGCTGGCGGGGAATGATCGTATTTATTTTGGCCTCGCCTCATTCTTTTGACAGTCTCACTTATCTCGGTGGCAAAGCGTAGCTCCTCGACCGGTGTGGCAGCTTGTGAACGGGTCGTTCGAGGAGATGAAGGCGCTACTACGGGTTCCTGTTTCAGCGGGGTTTTCAGCTTCGGAGCAGCAACCACTGGAGGCGGTGGCTCCTCTGCCTCGGAGTTAGTTTTGCTTTGTGAATCTTGCCGTTGGCGGATGATGCAACTGACCAATGCCAGGGTAGAAGCATGTTCACGGGGCGATTTCCTTGGAGGCAACTCGGTAATCCTTGATATCTGCTTATTGCGGCAAGTGATGCCACTCCTTTGGCTATTGCTGCAACTGGAACTGGAGGTGCTTCTTACGCGCTCTATAAGCTGTACTCGATCACCAAGAGATCCCGAGGCAAACTCCCTTTCAAGGAGTTCCGGTGTGCTGGCCTTGCTATCACATTTGGCGGCTATGGCTGTGGCGACGAGGGCAGTTCCCTCAAGCTGCTGCTGCAGTTGCTCCTGTTCCTGCTGGTAACGTTGAAGCAGATGCAGCTTCTTGTGCTTGTACATTGATGACGAAGGGGAGGATTGGGCTGCTTCCTCCTCCCTTTTAATTTCCTTTTTCGCCACTGGCTTTATCGTCAGATCCTCCTGGGGCTGCTCCTTTTGTTCACCTTCCTTTTGCTCGCTGCGGCACAAGGCACAACTGTGAGCTGGCAATGTTCTGGCCATGGGTATGGGACCCATTTCGTAGGGCAGCTTCCTGTATCGCGTGCTGCCATAGTAGGTGTAATAGTGCTCTTCCCCCGCATCCTGCCGCAAGAACACTCGATTCCATAGCTCTGCGCTTGGCAGCGACTCGAAGGTGTATTGCATTTGTTGTAATCTCTCGCTTTTACTGCAATCAAATATCAAATCTACGGATTGCGGCACCACCTTGGGTTGTTTGCTCTTGCTGCTATTTTTCGTCGGACTCGAGGGTTTCTGGCACTTGCCGCGGCTTCTACTCGTCGGCGAGGATTTGGTTTCGGTTAGCTCAATTTCTCCGGCACTACGATTAATGGTTAAACGGGATAGTCGTCGAGCTGCTCTTTGCTCTCGTGTATCCGTAGATATCCGAGTGCTGTTTCCGGCTTTGGTTGTTTTGCTCAAATGGCCAGCTATGTAATCCTCGTCACTGCCCGAGGACAAGCTGCTCTCCACATCCAGCTCCATTTCCTCCTCGGTATCATCATTCTCCAATAGTTTTTCCAGCTCTTGCAACTCCTCCTCATTCTCTTCCTGCGGTATGATTTCCTTCTTTATTTTGATCTTAGGCTTTACTGATTCCCCCATCCGATCCTCCAGATTACTGGTCATTCGCCGGCCTCCAGTTGTCTGTCTCAGCTGAAGCTGCTGACGGCTGCTAGCGGTGGCCGCTGTCACAATGGCCGTAGCTGTGCGACTACTCTTTCTGGTGGCCGCCACCACTTGTGCCTGCTTCAGCTTAATCTTTAGCTTCGGCTGTGACTGTGGTTGCGATCGCGGCTCTTGTTCTTCTGGCTGGATGGGGGCGCTCGGAAAGCGCTGCTGGTTGTTGCTATTGCTGCTACTGCTTCCGGTGGACAACTGGCGTTGGAGTAGCTCCTCACCCGCTGCTGCTCCTGCCATCTTTCTCCTCCTGCCCACGGCCTGGGCTCGCTTGCGAAGATTCGAGGCTGGTAATAATCCCGAGGATTCCTTAGTTTCAGCTTCGCTCGTACTTGTGTCCAAGCTAGCAGAGGAGATGCTGTAACGGCCCCTTACATCTGAGGTGGTTTGACGATCTATATCCGTGGGTAGTTCACTGCTGCTCCTCGTTGTTGCTGACACCGCTGTCCTGGGGAACATAAAGTTCTCCGCCTCACCGTTGAGTCGCTGCAGCTCGGTCTGACGGATCTTTTGGAACTTGACAATAAGCGATGGTGAATCCACCTGGTTAGGAGGTCTGCCCCTTCTCGGTGGCGTGGCACATTCCTCCCTGGTTTCCACCACCTTGTACAGGGACGAAGGTGGCAGCATGGCTCTAATGGGCGGTGACAAGCCAGAATTCTGGGTGGATTTCTTACGACCCAAATTCGTTGTTGTCGGCGTTGCGGCTGCCGTGGTTGGATGCTCCTGGCGCTGCAGCTCCGATAAACTACCGGGAAGGGTTCCTAAAGCCTTCTTGCCGCCCCCTGGAGAGGGCGTCTGTGGCGAGGCCGCTTGGAACTTCTCCGAAGAATGCTTGCCCTTGGTTATCCGCTTGGATTTCTCACGCAGTGCTGGCGATGGCCTCTGGCGGGGACTTTGCTGCTGCTCCTCATTACTTAACGTTTCATCCACATCCATGTCCAGTTCACTCTCTTCGGGCTCCTCCGCCAGAAACTGATTCACATTCGCTGAACTAAGTATGAGTGTGTCTAGGGCCAGGAAATTCTCCGAATTCTTGGCAAACAGCTCGTGATCCTTACTCTGCAGGTGGATGTTCAGGATATCGTATTCCAACTTGCAGATTTCGCACACTCCACCTTGTTTTTCACTCGAATCCTTGGGTTCACGAAAATTGGATCGCGGACTATTTGGGATGATCGACTGCTTTTTGAGTTTCTGCACTGCCGGATGCTTGGGTAGCTGCTTCTCCTCCTGGGCCGGTGCTGGTGGTTTATCTTTCTGCGATGTGCGTGATCCCAAAGACTTGCGGGTCATACTCTGATCCTTCTCCTTGGTCTTCGATTTGGTCAGCAATCGGAAGGCGCCGTCCTCGCTGCTTAAATCAATCTTTGGCCAGTCGTCTGGCTGCTTAATAAGATGGTAGTAAGGTCTATAATTACGTTTGACGGATTCAATCTTCACATATTGCTTCTTCAGCTGAATGTGATGGGGGCTAGCTGTGGCGGCTCCTCCTCCGCCTCTGCCACCTTCCTTCTTACCCTCTAGGTATTGCTTTAGCTCAGTTTGAATACGCTTGATGAAGCGCTGTGCGTAATCCGTCTGCCAGATGGTATAGCTTCTTTTCACAGATGTCGTGGGAGTGCTATTGCTGCTATTGTTCGCCACAACTCCAACCGTGCTCCTTCGTACACGACTTAGTATAGCATCCGCTCGCGATTGCCGCTGATTCGGTTTCCTTGCCGAACCATCTTCCTGTTGGTAGTGGTTGGTGGGTGTGCTGGGTGTTCCTGGCGTGCCGGGTGTTCTACCTGTCCCACCACTGACTTCCGGCTTATCGGTGACAAAGTGGGTGATGCTATCGCTCAGAAAGAACTCAAGATGTCCGCCTAAAGCCTTGATATCGGTCTCAATACGTTTGGCAAGCTGATGATCGCAGATGTCCAAGTAGAACTTAAAGTGGCACAATGGACGTTTGCTCTTGATGACCTTTACTTTTGGAGGAGTGGCTGCTTGAGCTGCTGCTGATGTTGATGTTGCTGCTGCTGTGGTGTGGCTACTTGTTGTTGTTGCGAGTCTGCTGGCGCTTTGTTTGTCCGACTGCGGTTGCATACCTTCTGGCGCAAATTAGCTGCAGTCAAAGGACCCAGAATTAGAGAGAAAAAGAGATTGGACAAAACGCCATTAATTACAAAATTCACAACTTGAAACATTTAGCCTACAGTCGAATTTGTAAAACAAACAACCAAATTTGTATAAGGTAAACAAAACTCTTTCAATTATTAAACAATAAATTTGTTTAAATTAATGAGCAAAATCAAAAATATTATTCACAATTTTGTTAGATTTCGTATGGATTTAAAATTATAAAATTTGTATAAAAAAACTATTGTGTTTAAAATTAAAGGGCGTTAATGTTGGAAAGTTAACTAGAATAAATATATTAGGAATATCATTTTGGCGGTCTTGGTTAAAATTTCCCTCCATTTCTAGAGGACCTTACTTGGGACTTATAATGTTTGGAGTTGTTAGAGCACATTTATGTTATACAAAATCCGACTGCAGTTAAGAACCAACACCAACCGCAATTATAAACTCCTTTGGCCAGAAATAAAATTTTTTAACAAATTAAAGTTAAATCACTGCAAACTGGAAATCCTTTCCTGCGGCCTTCTTCTTCGTCTTCCTCTTCTCGTTTCCTCTTGCAGGCGTGTGTTATGCAATTTGGCATTTGGATACACACAGATCGAATCAATAAATGCATTCGAATGCATTTCGGTATGTATAGCCTAAAAGCCCCATCCACAGTTGAGTGTGAGTTAATTTATTTTAATTCCAAACTAAAATGGGCCGACTGACCGAACAGCCCAAGCGGGCGGTAAAAGAAGAAGAAGCAGCAGCTGTGCGGCGGTAGGGTGGCCAGACTGCGAGGGGGTGCTGCCACATTGTTATAAAACTAGTGGTGGCACAGCTCAGCAATAAAGAATGGTGCAAAAACTATTGAAAAATACTAATGTATTTTAAGGATTTTAAATTTATAAAAAGGTTGTTATTTTATTTTAATCAGGCCTATGCACCGGAGAAGAAAATTGTTTTTCAGACAATGGAAATAATTGTCAAACTTAGTAGAAAGCAGTAAAATTGTCATTCCTAATCCATCTCTAATTTAATTAAAACAATTAATATTTGCGTAAAACAAACTTTTGATTTGCAAATTTAATTTGAACTGCTCTAATTACATTTTTATTATTCGCTAAATTAGGTTTTTTGTGCCATTTACTTTTAACTTATTCATCATTTTTGTTTTGTTTATTTTTTGTACGTATGTCAAAAACAATGCGAATGAGGTGGCAAAGGCATAATCACCGATGACCGATATTAAACTCGGACTGCTATGGGTCCGGCAACCTTGCAAATCCCCGCACACACGCTCACCCACCCGTAAATAAATTAACTACTCGACTACACAAATCGACGGGCTTTAAGATAACCTGAAAAACGAGCACATCAGCACGCTGCGCTGGCACTTTTTTCGTTCCCCCCACTTATAATTCGCCATTACAACACGAAACGGTGGCGCAAAGTAAAATGCGAGAGAACCAAGTGGCAACCCTCAAGCAGCAGCAGCAGCAACAACAACAAAAGAAAAATAAGAAAAAGAGGACGAGTACACAAAGCGTAAGGCGAAAAATAACACACGAAGAGTAAAAAACGAACAAAAGGGGGAGCGAGAAGGGAAAGAGCAAGCACACAGTCAACGAAAACATACACAGTATAAGTCAAAAGAATAGTGAGCATATTGTGGTCATATTGAATATTACTTATTATGGCAAGGCCCGGCAAAGGGTACTGTTAATTTTTGTATATCTAAGACCTGTTTGTATGCATTTTAAAGTAATGGTTTTAGTTGTAGTCTTTGTTGTTTTTAGAAAATAAAAAAATCTTAGGAAGCACCTTTGTACGTAAAATAATTTCCTAATGAAAGTATACCCTAGTTCCACTATGTTGACCGCAGCTGTATAGAAAAAATTCATGTGAAGTCGCGGATGAAGCTGACAATGCGGTGGAGGCCGAAAACACACACGCACACACACAGTGGCAGATGGAAGCCAGCAGAAAAGCAGGCCCAGGGCAACAACGGCGATGGCAAGCAAAACAACAAAAAACACAGTTTTAGTACAGTGGTCAGACAGCCACTCGAAATTATTCATCCTACATGTTTTGGAACGGCTGCCACAAATGTTGTTTTTCTCCGGGTTTGCCGGTCTTCATTCGATTATTCCGATATGTTTCGAATAGCGTTTGTTGTTGTGCACACAACCACTGTGCCGTACGTAGCCGAAGAGTGTGTGTCGGTCGTGTGGCTGTGTTATTCACAATTTCCGAGTAATACTCGTTTTTATTTTTCTTTATTCCATTGCACTGTTGGTTGCTGCTCTTTCTCTCGCCTGCGCTTTACACGCACGTTCGTTGGCAGCAGCAGGGGAAAATAAATAAAAATGGTGACGAATCGTTTGAAATTCAGCAGAAATGCCGATGAAAAAACGTTGTGCATAAAATAACAAACTAAAAACATTCACACACACGCGCACAAATCAGGCGAAGGAGGAGGAGGCAGAATGGCCGATAACTTACCTTTCAGAAATTCACGGAGTTGCTCGGCTGAAATATTCCTATAGCCCAAATCATTTAGATACTGCAGAATAGCCCGTGCATCCAAAGGCAAATGTGACATTTTACTTTTCGCCGAGTCGAGCAATTGTTCTTGATTTTTGTATTGTTAATTTTTTGTTTATATTCCACCCTCACGCACACACTCACACGCGCTCACACGAATGCAAAATCGCCGTTTCTCTTCTGCTTCTCGTTTGTTTCTTTTTTGCTGCTGCTTCTTCTTATGCTGCTGCTGCCTGCTCGTCTTCGTCGTGCGCCGACAATCGAAAATTTTTCACTGTACTTTTTCTCGCTTTTGTCCGTTGGCACCGCGTTGGCCGTATTTTACTTGTATTTACTTGCTTTTTATTAATTAGTTGCAACGCTGAATATACACAACTGTATGGGAACGAGCGGCGGAGCGTCTATTTTGCCTTCGTCCGTCGTTAACGCCTTTGTTATTTTTGCGATTTTAGACACTTTCTGTGTGTGGGGCGTCGCCAATTCTATTGTGCACGTCCGGTTCGAGTGCGGAAATTCACTTTTTTCTTATTTTCACATATTTTCTCGCTAGTTTTGTAACAATTTTCACCAATTGAAAATAAAGTGTACACGAACAGAGCAGCGCACACACGCTCGACCAAATTTTCGTGGAGTTATCGATAACGGGTCGCCGAGTTGTGCTAGGGATGGGCGATGGTTGCTAGGTGACCTGTGCGAACAGGTCACGGGAAAGTACTTTTTTGGGAATTGCCTTTATTGAATAATACTAAAATATACGCGGCATTTAACATAATTAAAATGGGTTTGCATGATGTAACCTATTTTAACAATAGATTACTAATAATCCCTTACCGAAAAGCCGTTTTTACTCAAACCCTTGAGTGGGTTTGAAATGTCGTGACTACCAACTATCGCCAATGAGAAGTATCGCTATAGCTCATATCGATATGCAGCTTTGTCATCGCTACCACCTACACCAGAGAAAGGTTTTTCGTTGTTGCTTTGTGTGATTTTCCATTCGATTCTCTGTTCTTCGTTCTGCGTCTGCGTCCCGTTCGCGTGGATAAAAAAAGAATAAAACGAACCTTTTTTTACCCAGTGTATATTCGTGCTCAATCGTCAATTCGAAAAATGTCTCGTAGTGCGTACCTGCTGTGTGTGCTCTTTTTAGGTGAGTGTTCTGCAACGCGTGGAGAAATCTTAGATGTAGACTAAAATCCGTGTGATCTGGTTTTCGCAGCCTGCAGTTGCTTGATTTACAGCGCAAGCGGAGCGCGGAATTACCGGAGGGGTTACAAGACCACAGAGCCGCCCACAACGACCCCACCGCCGCAGACGCCGAAGGAGTTCCTGGACAGTAGGCCGGGTATTTCCACATTCGGAATCATTGCCATCATCTTTACCGTGATAGTCCTCTGCCTGATCTTCTACTACGGCATCATTTGCTATCCATTGTTGTGTCGCGACGAGAAAAAGTACCGGTTTATGGACGTCTCGTCGACGATCACGGCGGCCACCTCGCGCTCCATTCAGTCCATAGAAAACTATCCCGATCAGAAGCATCATCACCAACTGGCCTGATTTCGGATAACGTGATGAGTGGGAGAGGTGGTTTAGTTCTATATACATATATATCTCTGTTTAGTAACTCGAAAAAGACTTCAACGCCGGCCAGAAACAAAAACACGCATCAGTATGCATACAATTTTCCAGCCTTTAATGAAACTTATAAAAGAATAGGCCAATTGAATGTTTAAGTGCAATATTGGAAAAGATTTTAAATAATTTTTGGTTAGTAATTTTGGTGAATTTCATCTTTTAAACTCGCAAAATGTTTGAATGTATTGACTGAACATCTAAAAATATTTAGGAAATACCTTGTTCTTAATTTAAAATTGCACTTGAACATCCCTTGGCTTTGTTTGTCAGTTGCATTCTAGGGCTTTAGTATTAAACATAGAAATAACCAGTTGAGAGGTTCGCTGGAAAGGGAATTAATCATTCATAATTGTAAATTGGGTTTCCCATACGCATACCCGACCGTTTCTTTATCTGTTGATTCTCTTAATCCCAAGGCTCAACAAGTTTTTTGGCCTGTCCTCCATCCCTTTTACCTTATTTCTTTGGCCTTTTCGCCGTGGCCAGCAACAGTTTTTATATCTTTTTGTGCAGGTAGTTTCAGCCGTTTACACATCGCTTTGTGTCCCTCGCCCTTTTTTTTTTCATTTTATTTTGGACAAAGCCAAAGTGTGGCAATTGAGTCACGTCGCCTGGTTTTTGTGTTTTCTTGAAAAAAAAAAAAATCTCATGGAATTTGGCAAAGAAACCAAGATCCAGCCTTTTTTATACAGCCCAATTTGCATACAAAATCAAATCCGAACTCTTTGTGATGATGCCTCGAATTTTTCCCATCCAAACACACACAGGTTGTACTTAAATCGAAACCAAGTACTTAATATATATAGATATATAAATGCCAATCTATAGTCTAAGCGCCAATCTGCCACTACGAATATATTTTATATAAAGACGCTTTTAAGCAATCTGCAACTTTGTGCATTTAGTTAAGTATATGATGGTATCTTTTGGATACAAAATGTGTCAAATTACGTTTTTAGACGTAAACCTAGACTAAGGCATATATAATTTTATATACACAAATCTCTTTTTGGACTTTTTTAAATAAATTTTGAACGTTAGTTCGGACGAAGATACATTAATTACGATTTTTTTGGGTGTTATTGTGAAACATTTGTAGTCGAAAAGATTTTCAGTTTCCCAAGGCGGCAACACTTACAAAATTACAAAAATATTTATAGTGAATCATAAGATCCATGTTAATCTGACGAAAAATGTTTTAATTATGTTTAAATATAGTTTTAGTATTAGGTTTCAGTTTAAAATTATTATAAAATCTGGACGTATTAGTCTGCATGTAAGTTTTCAAATGATTTTCAAAAGGACATCGAACACCAGCTCTCGTAAACTTCTGGTTGGGATGCAACCACTGCTTTAAAATTTCTTACGAACTGTAAAATTAAACAAAAGTTCTTGGCTTGAAATTATTTTACACACATTTAATTGAACAGTTTATTATTCATTTCAATGGTACACAATTTCCATGTTCGCTGGTTTCAATTAATTTAAGATCTATGTGGGGATGGTATAAAAGGAGCTAATATATATAATAAAGAAGTATATTTATATTTAGATACGCTGGCTGACTAATGAATATCATTCAGAATGCAAGTGTTTTTTTTTTTAGTTTAAGAAGTGGAAAATTTGAGCTTGAGCCGCACAGTCTTGATGTGGTGGTGAGTTGTGTTCTTTGGGATGTCCCTTACAGCTCATCCTTGGGGCTCTCATCTAGATCAATGTCGCTCAGATCAATATCCTCCTCGGTGGGCAGTTGGCCATCCTTGCCGTCCCAGGGATCCACCGAAACGATCGCTGGCTTCTTAGCACCACGCACTGGAGCCGTCTGTCCACGGCCGTAGGATATGTCGCGCAGGAACTCGTTGATGCCGTCCTTGGAGAAGGATCCCTTCAGCACGGAGAATTTCATTTTCTTGAAGTTAACCACTGCCATGGCGGGATAACCGAATCCGCCAACTTCGAGGGACTCCTCGAGAGCGGACTGCTGGCCACCTTCGGCCCAGGCCCAGCCCCATTGCTTCTGCTTGTACTTCTCGCCCAGAGTGCGCAGGGTAGTAAGGAACTTGTTGCGGCACTTGGCATCGCAATCGAGGATGTGTGGCAGCACAGAGACCACACACAAGGGTTTTCCCTCGCAGGCTGTGTCGAATGTGGCATCATTGATGATTTCTATCAGTTCGGGTGCCGGTACATTGGCCACATGCTTGTCACTAGCCCAGGCAATGATATCCGAGGCAGTGCGTCCGCCATCATACTCCTGGGCATCTCCAGCCTTTGAGTTTGCGGGGAAGAACTTAATGGTGGGATAACCGCGCACATTGTACTCCGCAGCCTTGCTCTGGTGAGCGGTGGCGTCCAGGGCGCCCAGCTTGACCTTGCCCTTAAGCTCCTTGGCGGCCTTGGCCCACTCAGGAGCCAGATTCTTGCAGTGACCGCACCAGGGAGCAAAGAACTCCACCAGCCAGATGTCGTCCGAGTTTAGGACCAGTTTATCAAAGTTTTCATCGGTGAGCTCGATGACCTCATCGCCGGATGAGCCGCCAGAGGAGCCACCTCCGCCGCCACCGCCTCCGAGAGCGGCCTGAACCTTCTTCTTGACCTCCGCCAGAGCGGCATCAGCAATGGCCTTAGCTGTGCGCTGGCCATTGAAATCCGTGGGCGACTTCTTGTTGGCCCCGAAAATTTTGATAGTGGGAAAGCCACGTACTCCAAATTGGCCGCCCAGCGAGCTATCAGCATCGGCGTTGACAGAGCCAACCTTCACCACCCCTTTTAGCGCCTTGGCCAGCTTCTTGTACTCGGGAACCAGGCTCTGGCAGTGGCCACACCACGGCGCATAGAACTCCACAATCCAGATGGCGTCGTCCCGGAGCACTTCCCGGTCGAAATTGGCAGATGTTAGCTCCACGACACCATCGCTGGGCGAGTAGAAGGCAGTTGTGCTGCCCACGGCAAAAGCCAGCAACAATAAGCACGCTGCGGGGGCGTTGAAAATTAGCGTATCTCTACCATAGTTTTTTTTTGTATTGAGCTTACCCAGCTGTCTCATGTCTGCGCTTACGTGTACGATTTCGTCTACGGGTTTATCTGCGCGATTGCCTCTTCCGTACTTCTTAATCAACGACGCTTATTTGTCTGTTCTTTCTTTTTTAGGATGCGGCTTTTTTAACAAAAAATACACGTCACCGCCGATAACGATAAGAAAGATTTCCGCTACGCGACATCTGGGCACACAAAAGAGGCTCGAAAACCACAGTCTGGCAATGCTCGGAGCTGCCAGATAAGTAAAATTTTTTGAAGGATCAAATAAGCGGGATATTTAAAATATCCCTTCTTCTAACAGTGTATTTAATTTTTTGTTAAATGACATTTACAAAGTGCCAGATTATCGTAAAGGCATTGTACCCTTGAAATAAATCTAATGTTAAAAATATATATTTTGAAAAATTTTATTAAATACTCTTTCATGCCAAAAACTATTGGACTTAAAAATTATGTATTTCTTATTTTTATTTACATAAGATATAACCAAACATTACTTCATATTTATATTGTTTTTTCGATTTTTGTTGTGTATGCATTCTTCTTAATTATTTATTCTTTTCTAGTCTTTCCCAGTATTTTTTTATTTAGATTAAAAATTTACAAGTGACTTTTTTACCTAATTTCTGTTCTACTCAAATATTTGTGCTGAATTGTCGGATATGTTATTTTATTGACTATCTTGGCAGACACTACATACTTCTTCTACTTCTCCCCGAATTTCTGTTGTCTCACCAAACTTATTTAATTTGCGATTTCTTGGAGCTTTGGTTTAATTTACTCGCACATTGTTTTGGCTACTTCATCTGGCATGTGCGCCACCCACCGACCACCACCCACAGTGACCCCTGACCCAGCGTCTGCGTTTGTTGCGTGCGCATATGAGATAAAATATGTGGTCAATTTTACTTAATAGCGACTTAGTAGTAGTGTGGCCAAGATTTATGTGACGTTCATATTGCCGCAGAGAGACAGAGCAAAACAATTTTCTTTTGCTACCCCCAACCCCAAACGCCATTCAAGGGTTAATTGGGGGTAGTCCATACAGTCGGGCTTGATTTTTCGCCCCCATATTTTCTGTTGTGCGTGTGTTATTTTTATGATTATTGAATTTTAATGCATATCGAATGCACACATAAAGATTCAATGACACAAAGGTCATAACTTTTCCGGTGGGAAGTCTTTGGAGTGGGAGTGGAAGTGGAAGTGGCTAACCCTTTATCTGAACTCTCGGAATGAAAGCCCAAATGTAATGTTTATGCCACATTTGGTTTGCACTTTTTGCTTTCAGCATAAAAAGAAGTAATATTTGTATTAACTTCAGTGGGTGGACAAGTCTACCTCCAGAATATTGGAGTGTACTGAAAAAAATCAGCTTGAAGTTGGTAAGAATCAATTCAATTCTTTAAAATTCTTGAAATTGTATCATAATCTGTAATATAAAAAGTAGTTTTTTGTGTTACCTATAAACTTTATATATATATTTTTAAATCAAATTTAGAATTATTTTATAAAATTCTTTCAGTGTTCTCCCTTCTTTACGCTGGCTTATCAAACCAACATTTCGTATGCCCAGCGGAGCGATCATTTTATTGATACGCAACGGCAAGGGTACGGCGTAAATATTAACCCCTTGTTGCCACTGCTCCTGTTTTGCTTTTTTGTTGTTGTGTCTGCACTTCTGACTTGGCCTGACGCCCTGTCAAAACACCTTTTCCGAAGGATGTGCGTCTGTCAGTGACAACCTTTGAGAAGTGGGGCGGTTATGAGTTGCATGCACTTTTAAAAATAAATCTAAACAAAAATATATAAATTAACTTTTATAAAAAAATAAAAAAAGGATATCCTGGTAAATATAATATTACATATTTTGATATACCATTTTTTTTATTTTTAAATTAACTTGTAAAATACTTTTGGTTTCAAATCAGTTATTTATGTTATGTCCTTTTTTAATGGTCTTCTTTAAAATGAGATGGATTTATCTAAAATTTATAAATTAACATAAATATTATTTATATTATACATAATAAAAGTCATATTAAATATAAAAAAAAGGCATTTTTCGTTTTTTTCATTTTACACTTTCATATTTTATTTCCAAGTGTTCGTCATGGATTTATTTTTTTTTTATCATCAAATGCCATTTTGCAACGTGTCATATTTACTCTCCGGATTTGTCCCATTATTCACTTGACAACACCACGGAGATCCGAGTGCCCTGCGAGCTTTTTTTTTTTGTTGGTTGTTTGTGATTCTCAAGTGCCTTGTGCGGCTTAGTTTAAAGTTGATTCGCTGCCACGCGTTTTCCATTTGCCATTTCCCTTGCCATTTTCCTTTTCCCTGCTCCCAGCATTGTTGTTATTTTTGCAAATTTTTCTTTATCTATTTTTCTATATCATTGAACTGTTTTTTATGGGATTTTCTTCTTCATTCGGTTTCATTTTTTGGTTTAGCTTCGGAAGGGTGGCAATGGCTGGGGAATAGCTTCTCGATTTCTGGTTGATTTGCAGGCCCTGGTGACTCCTTATCGAGTGGAACGTACGCTCTGGGCATATGTGTGAGGAGAGTGAATGATGATATGTGGCTTATTATTGTCAATTTTTATGGGATTTTCATGTGTGACTGCATTTGGGTTTTCTGGTGGCTGGATGTGTGCAGGGAGAATATGTTGAAGTGAATGTGTTCAGATAAGAAAAGCGTGAAATGATGGTGGGTGGAGCTACGATGAGGGAATATGAGAGGATCGAAGAGGTGATGGGATTAAGGAGATAAATATTTGGGAGTTAATTTAATCAAATGATAGAATATATAAAGGAATATACTCAAAAACGGGCTTAACTTGTAAAAAAAATGTCGATAGGTTGGTTAATTTTAAATATATTAAATATATTAGTAGTTAAACTTATAAGTTATTCGGGTAAGGAAATAACTGAAGATTTTGGGAAATAATTTAATACATATTTATATATTTAGAATTAAATATAAATATGTGCTAATGCCACGACAAATTGCC